TTTATTTATAACATTTTATACAGGCAAAGCCCAAAAATATATATAACAGTCATCAGAAACATCATTAATAAAAATTAGTAAGAAATAATTAACAAAAGATAATTTATACATACATTGATTCAAAATGTAAATTAAAACAACATAAACGAAATTAAAATAATTCAAAGCCGGATTATTATTAGCCAAACGCATATGGCGAATTATTGAGGTGCAATCAAGGAAATGAGAAGGGGTAGGGGGATGAGGAATATAGTGTTAATACAGGTGGTGCGAAGAGGGATTTTAAAATTTAGAAGGCTAAGAAGTTGGATAGAAGGTTAATTAGGAAGGAGAGGTTTGAATTGTGGTGTCGATCGGCAAGGCTGGTGAGATGTAGGGTAAATAGGACAGGAGAGTAATCATGAGGAGTGTGAGGGACATTAAGGCGGAATGCTGCTAGGTTTAAAAATTTTCTTTGGACTCTTTCTAGCGATTCCCTTGCACAAGCCGTTTGGGGATCCCAAAGAACTAATAGCTTTCTAATTTAATAACAATAATCTCTAATAGAAAATTAGTATTNTTAATAACAATAATCTCTAATAGAAAATTAGTATTTTGAATAAAACATACCTTTTCCGCCATTAAAAATGCAAATTCCACCATCTCGACCATCATATATTTTATTTCGTTTCAATGTTGGATTGGAGTCAGTTTTAATCCAAACACCAGCCATTGCATTGTCAAATATTTCATTTTGTTCTAATACTCCAAGACCTCCATTATAAACTAAAACACCACCATTCTGGCCTCCCCATATTTTATTTCCTTTAATAATTGGATTACTTCCCGTCCTAAAAAAAAGAACACATATACAATGTAACAATAACTTTTACATAACTTACATAAGACTTAATTTTTCATTATAGGTTATAGACACTAATTAATTTAAATTATAAATTAATGGTATTATGCATAATACAATTTAAATATCACAACAAATATAATGAATATAATTATATAAATTAAAATTTAGAAGGATAACTGAACTAGCATTTACAGTTTACCAGTTTTGTCAATTTTCAAGTTTGTCATGGTATAGTTTTTTTAAAAGTTCTGAAAAATAGGCTTAAGTTTATAAAGTTTACTTAAAAATAAATAAATAATTTAAAACTTTAATAAATTATTTACTACGTATCTATCAGGATTAATAAAAACGGGGGGTGATTAAATGAGAGAGGATTAGGAGAATACAACCCCTTTCATTTATATATCCTTTTAACATATCTTTGTGTAATATTCAGAAAACTTCAATGTGTGGAAATTATATAGGGTGTTTGATTAAGGATAAAACATTAATTTTGCTTGAAACTATTGAAAACTATTAATTTTCTAAAATAAAAAATTGTTTGATTCAAAAAACTACAGTAATATGATGTAAAATAATTTTTTGTTTATATCTTCAAGTATAAAATATCTAAAATTTTATTTTATTTAATAGGAACACTTATTTTTAGTTTGACGATATATTGAAAAAAGTTCCAAATCATTTTGTTCTTACAATATTTTTTATTAGATAATCTATTTTTAAGATTTATTAAAGTATAGAGTTTTTTTATCAATTTTTCTATTAATAGTTTGATGTTTTGTATACAGTATTAGATATTATTTTTTCATGCTATTACTTAAACAAGTTTTTTTTTTGACTATTTTTAGTGTTATATCCGTTAAGATAGCAATAACAATAATAATTTACGACTCATTGAAATAGATTATTATTACCTCCAATATTATGAAAACTAAATTAATGATAGATTTATAATTTTAGTTAAAATTTTTAAAATATTTTAAAGCACTAATAGTTGATCGGATAAAAAATATGGCAAGAACAAAATTGTTTGTATATTCCTATTATGTCTTTAAACTAAAAATAGGTGTTCCCATTAAATAAAATTAAAATTAGGGTACTGTATACCAAGAGATGAAAAACAAATTATTTAACTACTTATTGTGTTAGTTTTTTAAATCAAACAATTTTTTAATTTTTACAAATTAAAAATATTCAAGTTTAAAAAAAAATGTGTGTTTTATCATTAATATATTACTTTATATACAAGATGGCTAGAAAAAAGGGCTATAAGTGAAATTTAAAACAATTGAGTTAGGTCTTGGGTAAGGGGGCCGGTGGCACACATTTCATAAAAATTTTTTTATTAAGATTTTTCATCCCTTTTCATGACAAAATAATTTGACTATCATTGAACTGGTTACCAGTGATTAATGCTGTTATCCTATTTCTTATAACAAAAATCAAGGAAAATTTTTTTATCATTTTTTTTTTTACCTTATTTGAACTCCTGAGTATAGATGGTTAAAAATGTCATTGTCTTCTAGTTTTCCATGACCATTATCATAGAAATACACGCCAACTTGTTTCCCTGAATGAATTCGATTGCGTCTTAGTACTGGTGTACTACCAGTAGTAATCCACACACCAGCTAATGTATTTGCATATACTTCATTCTCTTCAACTAGCCCTGCCCCTTTCTCATGTACATAAATTCCACCATGTTGACCATGATGAATTTTATTATGTCTGACAATTGGATCACTATTTGTACGTATTTGAATACCAGCTAATGCGTTTCCTATGATAAAAACAAAAACATACATAAAAATTAATTATAATAAATAAAAACAAAGAAAAAACTTTTACTAACCATAAATATTATTATGTTCGATAAGTCCTCGACCTTCACCAAAAATATAAACACCTCCTTGATGGCCATTGTAAATATCATTGCGACGTATAGTAGGATTACTATTTGAAGTAATCCAAACTCCAGCAAAATTATTGCTATGAATGCGGTTATCAATAAATTGACCAAGTCCATTTTCATGTACATAAATACCTCCTGTTTGACCATGATGAATTTCACATTGAACAACAGATGGGTTAGCTCCAGCTTTAACTTCAAAACCAGCAATACGATTGTTATGAATATCATTGGCTTCAAAAAATCCCTTAATTAAAAAATAAAATTTATCAATTAACAAAACTTTAACAGACAAGAAAATATGAAACTTAAAAAACAACATATCTTAAATAAAATGTTTTTTTGCTAGAATAAAGTATAAAATGTTAAGAGATTTCTATAACAAATACTATGAAATAGAACTATTTTTATTTTGTTGAAAATTTGGTGGCGGATCTAAGAAAAATACTCAACACAATAATTGAGTACAAGTAAAAATTATTAAATTTTTTCATTTGCTAAAATGGAAAATAAAAATTTAATTTTGTTCTCTTGTAAAATAAGAATCCTCATTATGGTTTACTAACTGGTCAGTACAAATTATTATTAATTTAAATGAAAATTATCAATGCATATAATTTCATGCTCTAATTATCACCCACATTTTTTGATTTAATAAATTAAAGTTATAACTAAATTTTATGAAGTTATATCCTTTATGACAATATTTAATTGTATAATACATAAAATATAATATTTATATAAAAAATTTAATATTTTTTTTACCAATCCATTGTCAAAAGTGAAAATCCCCACATCTCTTCCGTGATGTATGTGATTACGACGCATGACAGGGTTGGCATGGTTTTTAACCCAAACTCCAGCCAAAGCATTTCGACAAATTTCATTATCTTCAAATGTTCCTTGAGCGTGGTCTGTTACATATATACCAACATTTTCACAGTCGCTTACATCACAATGATGAATTCTAGGATTTGCCCCAGCTCCACTAACACACACAGCAGCTCCAACAACTGATGAGCTACGTATAATACAATGATCAATAGTAGGCGAACAATTTTCACCAACTTCTAAACAAAAATGTTTATGATGTGGAACAGTAGATGTAACATTTGGAGTAAATTTTAGTGTGACATGTCCCAGATAAGCACTTTTAGCCCCTTCGACAAACATTACTGTTGATTCTGTTTCACGTTCTAGGATGACTGCATCTGCTACAACACCAGGAGCAGCTCCAATAAGTGCTACATCTGAATCAATTACTAGAAATTCACCTCGGTAAGTACCAGGGTGTAAGAAAAGTTTTGCACCTCCATTTAAATGTTCATCTGCATAATCTAGAGCAGCTTGAATAGTGTCAAAATGTGGCATTCGTCTCACTGGATCTTTAGCTGTACCATTATAATGAGGTCTTACATGCAAGCACCGTTTTTTTAGGTGTCTAAAACTTTCTTTCCAAGGATTGTGATGCTCACTTTCTTCAAAAGGAATAAAGTCAAAACGACAACTTTCAGTATTGAACAATGGAGTATCATACTCAAATACACTTTGATATAATCGTTTCCATAAATTATTATCATTTGCTATAGCTTGAAATCTTTTGCAAACTTGAGCTATTCTACAAAGATCTTGTTCATATAAATAACTGAAAATTGTCAACATGACTTCATCAGGCAATTCACATTGTAAGTAATGAGCAGCTGAATTTGAATCTGGAAATTAAACAATAATTTAATAGTTAATTTGAATTCAGTTACATAGAGTACAAAATGATCAAATACTAATCTTTAAAACCCTAGTGTACTCATTTGGATACACAACAGAAGTTCATTTAAAGACAATTGTCTATATTTAGTAATTGTCTGATTAAGTGTTTAAAATTATTTTTTATTTTAACATTGTGCTAATAAATCTGTACTATTGTGGTTAAGTGTTAATAAAAAATGTTTAATAATAGTAAATATTTTACTTGATTGAAAATTGGGCTAGTATTTAAAAAAAAATACAAAATTTCTAGAGCCATAAAAATACATGTTCATTATTTTGTTTTATTTTAATGCTCTCCATGATACATTATGTTTACACAGTAACAGATTTAACCACAATAGTTAAAATTAAATAAATTGTTCAATACAAAATTTATTTTAAAAAATTATAAAAAAAAAGAATATAGTGGTTTAAGCATTATTTATCAACAATAAAATGTTAACTAATACTTAAATAATTATTTATTATGTTAATACATACTATCAGCACTAGTTATTGTACAGGAAGTATTTCTTCTGAGTCGTTTACGTGCTGGTTGTGATAAAGGAGGTGTAGCAGCAGATTGCAATACTGATGCAGTAGCTGAAGCTGTTGGTGATGTAGGCCGAGTAGCAGTTGGATGAACAGGAGCTGTTGCGCTACATCCAGCAGTACTAGCATCATGTAAATGAAGAGGAGATTTTCGACCCCTTAAATCATAGGGTGGTACATGCTGAAAACTAGAACTCGTACTAGCCCCCCCTGGTGTAGCATAACTACCACTTGCAGCTACGAGTGGTTCACAAGTAACTCCTGCATCAACAACACCACCTAAAATTAAAATGTATAATTGAATTAAATGTAACTTTAATATTTTATTTAATTCATAGCATTTTAATACTAAAACAATAAAATTAACAATCACTACATTAGGTTATTAATATTTTTACCAAATGATAAATTATAATACATTATCAAATCTTAAGTAGTATACACAGTAACTTCACACAAAGATTTTCTGTTATAAAAATTAAAATATAGTTTTTCTTGATAGTTCAAATAAAAAATTCCATCATCAGAAGTAAAATAATCCAAAATTATCAAGTTATTATCAGTAATAATTCATATTATAGTAGAAATTACCATGGTTAAATATTTTAGAAAAAATTATAAAAATAAGTAAGGTATTTTAAAAGCATAAAAAAAAATTTAAGTTTTCATCAGAGAAATTACTCTTAGTGTACTCTTAAAATCATTAGAATTAATTTTAATTTCTTCAAAATTTTATTGAAGTCATTAGTAATGAAATGTTATACATAATGATTTACTATTTCTTACAGTAATTAGTTTCCCTTTCCTTCCCTGTAAGCAAGCACTTACATTCACATTTTTTTAAGTATCTACATTTCTTTTTGAGTCATATTTATTTGATCTAATTACTAGCCGCTGGGGTAGTGTGCACACACCTAGAATAGATGCGTACGTCATTAAATGAAACATGGAAATTTCAGAAACCCTAATCTTGACCCAAAATATTATTAATTAATATTTCAATAACCTCGCGAAGGCGAGAGGGCCGTAACAGAGACCGTGGTCGCTGTTTATCGATTCGGAAAGTACGTGATAGCAAACCTTGACAGCGAGATCACAGCACATATATACACAGACGGTATCTCTCACGGCCGTTTTGGCAGATCGGAGTCAGAAAGACTTAAATTACATTTAAGACAATTGCAAAACATGATAAAAAGAATGACAGCTTACCTGAATTTGATGTCCTGGATGGTATTGGAAGACGATTAGTACCTTTTCTCCTGGTTCGACGAGTATACGAACGGGTCGAGCTGAACGACGCGCTCGGCATTTTTTTTGACGTTTTTCGTACAATTTTCAATAATTACACAATTTATTCACAGCGACTACTAATTGACAATGATATTTTTAAATTAACACTAAAGATAGAACAGACGACGATATAGAACGAACGCAACACGAGACTTTTAAAGACGATGTATCAATAATTCTAATAATTTTACTAACATGTATATATTTATGTACTATAATTTTTATTAATCGTTGTTTAAGACTACGACGGCGGCGGCGGGCGTGCACACACACTCACACACACACGGTCGGGTCGAGACAAAAGAAAGGAACAGGCAGCTGCTGCTGGTCATGAACGACGACGTCGCACGGACATTTTTTCTCTTCACAGTTCTCTTGACGGCGGCAGTAGAGTATATGTATATGTGTGTGTGCGAGTACGAGAGTGTCTGTGACTGTGTTCTCTTTTCTCGCTCACACTCGCACGCGCATTCAATACTATACACACACACACAAATATTTTACTTGTGTAAATGTATACACGCACACGAATGCACACTGCACAAACTACAGCGATAGTGGCGGTGTCATCGGCGGCGGCAGTAAACAACAACGAGTCGACAACCATTAATGAAAAAACACAGTAGTATAATAAAAAATGAAAATACACATGAGTGTAGTATGGTTTACCATCTCGATAT